CACACACACACACACACACACACACACACAATGGCACAAGAGCTATGCCTAGAGGTGTTTTTTTTTCTTCTTTTATTGAACTCCATAAATATTTTCATAAGGCTTTGTGTCATTACAACATCTTTTTATTTTATTTTATTTTTGTTAAACATTTTTTAAACACACAACTTTGACACTTGTTTGACAGGGTCAAACAATCAGAATAGAAGAAACAAAAGAATAAACTGGCAAATGCAGAGCAGCAGGGGTAATCAAAATCATTGTTGCCCATCTATCCACCCCAGCCCACCCCAGCCCCAAATCACTAAAAGATCACTATTTGGCTTCATACTAGAATTGTTAGAACTCTCTCATTGCTGTCCTTATAGACACATTGGAGATAAACAGAAAGAAGAGGAAAGAGGGAGAGAGAAAGCAGAACTGTATTTCTACAGTAGGCCTTCCCCACAGCAGGGCCCACTAGTAGAGCCTTTTGGAGGGCAAATCCAGGTCTCATTGAGTTGAGAAAAGGGGAGCTGGGGGTCAGGCAGAAACAAAAAAATTACAGAGTTATTAGGGTTAGCATTGCTGTGGGGAAAAAATAGGTTTGGACACCAAGTCTAAATAATTAACCAGGCTCCTCTTGGGGCTGCTGTCCACTGGTCTACTTTGTTTCTGAAGGTTAGAGGGATGTTCCAATCAATGACAAGCTGATTTCTTGTTGTTTCACAAATCACTAGGATCTGGTGAGGCTAGTGGATTGGGTAGAGAAGTGGAGGTAAGAGGTGATATCACTAATCAAGGGCACAGGCCCCTTTGAGGGAGTGGGGATGAGAGGGCACTGCCAAGAGATTTTGTAGGCCTAGGGATTTATTTAAGTATTCTTCTGTTGTACCCTCAACCCACATAGAAGCATGTCAAAACCAAGGCTAGTGAGTAGGACAAAGTAGGAAAGAGAGGTACACTAAGGGGAGGCCTCTATAGCCACATTGTGTTGCCAGGGAGGACGTATTAGCCTGGATGTGGGGAACCATGACCATTTCCAAGGAGGTTCTAATAGCTAGGTTGTATGCCAAACAGTGGTGGCTAGTCTCAAGCCTTGGCCCTTTGTCCAGCTCAGGGTCATCTTTGTCTAATGAAGTCTTTCTTGGCTGTGGTAGAATAGAAACTTAAACAGTTTGTAATTTGATTACCACAGAGGAGATATTCCGAGGCTAGGCAGGACCTACTCTGGATCTGGAGTCACATAACAGCTATGCTGAAGTCCACATGCAGCTATGACTGCTGCTTTGTAAGCTGAGGTCTTTTCATGATGAAGTCTTCTCCTCTGGGCTCAAGGACAGACACAACCTCCAGATTCCTCATCAGAATGGCTCTCCATGGTAAGGTTCATCCTCACTCCTTGAAATCCCATTCTCCTTACTATTCAAGGTGTATCTATGGGGCTGGGGGACATGTAGGACAGAGAAACATACTTCTACACCCATAGAGAGTGTCTCTTTGTGGTAGAAGTTGGTTTCCCACAAGCAGAAAGCCTGCCAAAAATTAATCTTAGAGTAGCATCTCTGCCTCAGACCCTATGGTCAAGAGGGAAAATTACCCCTGGACTCCTCACTTTTTGCTGCATAATGGCCTAGGATGGGAGGATGTTGGAAAAAGGGCCTTCTTTGAGTGCCATAACTACTTTAGCAATGTCAGCACCAACAATATTCCTGTGCCAGGAGAGCAAGTGAAAGAAAAAAAAGATAGGG